ACTAGCAAGTCATGTGTCCACAGTACTACTATTACCAGAAGAGAAGTTCAAACTCCGACGAGTTGTCGCAGTAGCAAAACACTTACTGTCACCGAAACAGTGCACCAAAATCCCGTACGCTCCATATTACCAGGTGGGCAAACGAAACACATCACGTCTACAGGCACAAAAGCTATAACCAAATCCAGTGAATCAAAGTGAATTCCATCTCATTTAAAGTGGAGGACGCTTCGAAAGCCTTCTTTAGGGCTACTATTAAATAATGTTGACCTTGCTTTTGTACTGTGCTTAGTAAGTGTAGTGAACAATTAATATATTTACTACGCAATTATGCATTTTATGTTGTGCTTAAGTCTGCAATAATAATGCAATTTTATACTGCGAACTTGAGTTCTCTCTTGTGTCTTGTCAAAGTTCTGGACTTACTGGAGCTAGTAGCATTTCGTCAGCTTATTTCAAACTCACAGTAAGTCACACCGGGCTTGCATTTCTGAATTGGTAGTGAGTCTACTAAGGTGCATCAGTCCGACACCTACCTTGTGTTTTACTGTTAACTGATGTAGTATGTTAAGGATAACATCCTAGTCTTATGTCGTGAATATGACGATGTCAGGTTGAAATTTAAAGGTCGACCTGGAAGGCGGATTTCGTAACACGACTATAAGATGCTCGCAGATAGCAGTTATTTGATTACAGGTGTCTCGTGTACATTGCGCTCATCGAGTGGGCATTGTGGTTGTGGGCAAAGTACTAGATAAATATGGTAGATCGGCTGGTGAGGTAGTGAGTCCCCATCGATTGTGACTGCTTACCCATACCACGTGTGTCTACACTACGCTCACCTCGATTGATGTTGAATGGCATACCAGTAGGTAGGAAGAACGCGACACCGACCTACGGGGTGACTGAATTCAACCGAACTATGCAGGTGGGTGAAGACCGTAAGGTTGGAGTCCAGAATTCTAATCTGTAGTGTCTGGTACTATATCAAGCCTACATAGGTGAGTTTGGCTTCCGAGCAGACCGATTTATACATTCACCTTCAGTCGGGTTTTGTTCCTGTCAAATATTCACTTACTGTTGACTTTTTATGTGGACCGTTTACCCCATTCATCACATTTCTTTGGCTTATTTGTGTATAGGTATAAATATTGAGACGCGCTGCATTAAATGGAGCTGGCGCTTACCTTCTCATTTTTGACACCTTCTGGGTAAACAAGTGTATAAAATAAACCCAGTTCAATCTATATTTGGCTTATTACCACCGTCACACAAACAGGGTCAGCCTAGGTTCAATATACGGAGTTAAATGGAAGATTCACATTCATGGCACACTTGTTCGTTATTTTGAACTGGAGTTAGATTAACGGACCCCTAAATTTGTACAAAATGGTGACATGACTTGGGGTTGTTCGTAATGGCGTAAGTGAGTCCACTCTTCTAATTCCCTTAGTTCCTGAGATCTTATACTTCCTCCTTTTTTACATGTAGTCTCCTACTACTATTGATCTTGCAACTCTGCGATCTGCCTTGAGAATTTCATGAGCATTAATGTAGTGTGCCAGTTTGAACATTTGTTACGTTCTGCGTCCCATGTGGCTTACTAACTAACAACATTGTCCACTCATCTCGACCACAAGGTTAGTTATTGGCTTTGTGTTCTCCCAAATTCTAATCTTCTGAATTCTTCATGTCCCTTTTTTTCTCTCCCTAAAATTATTTCACTGGATTATACTCCTTGAATATCAGCTTCAAACCCTAATCTTCCCAATTAATGCTTATACTTTTACTACCTCTACCACTACGGCATTTGAATCGACAATTATATCTCTCTGCTAATGTGGTATGACAACTTGAACTGATGTACGTACGTACGAGGTTCTACGTTGTTGTTGACTGACTGGTAAGAACGTTTCTGGTCACCTCTGTCTCCGTGCATTCGCTACAGAGTAATGCTATTAGTATGTTCAGGCTTTGAAACCCAAATATGTCTATTTTCCCAATCAGACATTGTATTCACTCTCCCGTCTATTGCTAAGTTACATTCAACAACTGCGAAACGACCTCTGACAACTTGGAATTTATCGGGAAATAACACGTCAATAAGTATATTGCTTCGACAGCGAAATTTAAGCTCCTTGAAAAAACGGTTGGATTGTATTTGTTCACCTTTGCGACCGGGCATTCACCATATAATCAGTTGGATGCTGTTCAAATAGTATACAAAGCGTGAGCCTTGGTAAGTCAAGGAAAAAACGAGTACAATAGGTAAACAACACTAGTTGGTACATCTACGTGTAAGCTCGGATAAAAGCTAGGAAATCAGCCAAAACCCATTTCCAAATGATATTAGTATAAAAACGATTCGATTCAAATATATGTATTTTCATTAATAATGCGTCAGTATTTTAATTAAAAATGTAGTTTTAGGTTTAACAAATGTTTAAAATTTGACAGTATATTGATATTGTAAACGAGCCTTAGTTATGGGTCTAGCTACTATCGTTTAAAAACCATATAGCTATTTAATTGTCAAGCAATTTTTCCAGCCAGGTATGCTAATGGTACTACGTAGAAAGGTCCGTGCCATCTATTTTCCTGAGGCAAATAATAAACGAATAGTTTTGTGAAAAGATGAGAATTCATCTGCGAATAAGGAGAGGAGGCATGTCTTCCCAGTTAAAATTGGGGGAATTTCTCCGTGGTGTGTGGAAAATCTGGGAACTTCATAATGAATATTACGAGATTTCCTCAAACTCAGTGGCAATCCTAAGGTCTCACCCAAAATAAGTTTCGGAGATTTTTTAATGAGTTGATTGTACTTCTCCAATTTCTATGTAACTTGGGTTTAAATTGTGTGAAAATATTGGGGTGAAACCCTAGTTTCAGATTTAGGGGATTTTCCACAAAATTTCAACATATTTTGGAGACAGTCCTTAGAGCAGTAGAAATTTTGCGGTTTTCGTTCGCAACTTTGCCAGAATCTCCCAAAATTAGTAAGATTTCCTCCAAAGTTGAGTGGTTCGATAGTGTAAGTGGACCCAATGCATTTCAGTATTAGAAACTAGTTCTAAGTATACAGGCGTCCAAAGTACTGTAAGACTAAAAGTTTTCTGACACCCGTCTACTGCATTAAGTATCTCGGTGTGATTGCAACCTCATGATTCACTGACCACACTAAAGTGTACAGACTAATAACTAATCAGCACAGAAAGCCTATATGCCTATTCAGGGTAATCACTAAGACACAACAAATGGAGAAACATATTCTACTGTCTAATAGTAGAACATCCCTTCATGCTCGTAAGTTTCATGTACTCTAGCTGAAATCTTCCTGATTATTGAAATGTTTTTGAAGGACTCTCGTGATTCAGAAAACCAAGAGATATCGGGAATGGAAACAAAATTAGAATGCGTTCGATTTTCTTAATAAATTTTGAGAAGTTGGTTACTCCTAATTGGGATGTTGTTACAACAGTTCGGCGTTCTCCTTGAATTTTCTGCCATGTAACCTTTCCAAACGTCCAGCCACACTCTGGATGTAAACGTATAAGCGGCTGAATTTTCATATTTGCTATTATGATATCTGAAATCCTCATCGACATCGACGTAAATTTCACGCTAACTATACGGTATAATAACTTGGGTTTGACACAAGTGCATCAAGCTCTAAATTGATTTTGGGCGACTGATTACTTAGTACAAACTATTTATGGGTGGAAATGTGTTGACTTTAAGGACAGACATATCAAGATAGAGAGCTAGAACACATATGCCCCCCTGTATGTTCTCGGTCAGTATTAGTACACATCATGCAACATTAGTTTGTTCAAGGAGGTTGCGTTGTTATACAAATTGTCAACAAACCATGGGACAATTTCGAAGCACCACTATTAATTCACTCCTACAATGGTATGGAAATACCATTGGTAGGTTGTAGCTACGGCTACTAACATAAAAGACTACGGATAAAGTGTACCTAGAATGTCAGCCGATGGTCAATGTTCCCACCAAATTCTGATGGCTTTGATGATATACGACTGATTGTAAATTATCTTCCATCTTAGGTGAAAATGAGCAGTTTGGTAGACACTGCCAGTACACTTGAAGGGTGAATGCTGGAAAGTTTTATACTTAAGCCAATCGAATTATCCAAGAGTGTAAATCTGTCCTAGTCAGCTACAACGTAGGACCAGGCACATAAATGCATCGGTCCAGGTTGCCACGAATTTCATAGAAGTAGAAAACATTTAGGATTTCATTTAGTGACAGCTACCCCTATAAATAGTATCCACAAAATTTAATTTCTTTCTTATAATCCATTAGTGATGGTGAACTCAACACCAATATTTAAACTATTCAGTATCAGGGATAAGCGCTTCCACATTTAGTTGCAAAAGGAACCAGCTTGCTGACCATTAATTAAGATATGTATGTCGATATCTTAAGATTCTCTTCAATAAGAGTACATAAACATAATAAAAATATATTAGTTCTGTAGGAAAATTCAAGCTACGTGTGTTAACCTATACACAAAAATCCATAAAAATTGTAGACTTTATCTTTATAAAGGTGGTTCCAGACTATTTAGTACTGGTGGCTTCACAATCAAAGTAATGCAAAAGAATGTGAATTATTATGACAGACTTTGATAGGACAATGATATGCTGAAGTGAGGGAAGACACGCGTTCCTACTGGATACTCTACAAACTGGGCACAAACAGACTGACACTTTAGTTATAGTACATAATTTACTTCTAATCACACATCTGTATTACATTTTTTCAGTAATACGACCAACTTACTCAATACTTACTGAAAAACAATAAACGACTGCGAAGCATTATCCATAGGGCGAACACAGCATATCAGGTCAAAGCACCACCATAAACTCGGCTATTTCTTATTGGTTAATAAAAGACATATATCCCTATGGCCTATGGCTTAGAGTCATATGGCCTTGATCGTAAATTGTTGACCTAAGTAATCAGTGCGAGAAATGTGATTGGTTAAATAATGGCTTATTTTTCTAAGGATTCAAGTGGACTAGGCAGAGTAATGTGGCTAGGACAGGGTCGTCTCGTGTCGGTCTGCAAGTCAGTTTATCTATCCTTGTGAATCATGTCTGGTCGTGGTAAAGGTGGTAAGGGTTTGGGCAAAGGAGGAGCCAAGAGACATCGCAAGGTGTTGCGTGACAACATCCAGGGTATCACAAAGCCTGCAATCCGTCGTCTGGCTCGTCGTGGTGGTGTGAAACGCATTTCAGGATTGATCTACGAGGAGACTCGTGGTGTTCTGAAAGTGTTTCTGGAGAACGTGATCCGTGATGCAGTCACCTACACAGAGCACGCCAAGAGGAAGACAGTGACAGCTATGGACGTGGTGTACGCTTTGAAACGCCAAGGTCGTACTTTGTACGGTTTCGGTGGTTAATTCACTAGCATGTGAACAATTGGCGACCTGCAACTGGTCCACACGAGAACGTATCACGGTCCTATTTAGGACCACCACATTGTGATTTGTCTTTGTGTTTTAACTGTATGGATAGCCTATTTGTTTTGGGTTTTGAACGATGAGTGTTGTGCTACTGTATGTAGTGTTTGGTATTCATATTAGCGTATAGACACTAGTACGGCTGCTCATTTCTCTATACTGTTTGTAGGGTCCGTCATGGTGATATTGACAGAATATCCCGTAACTGAGTAGGATTTAGGTTGCGATCCGACTTATTATGTGTATTTGTCGTGCAGTGTCAGCATCAGGTGGCCATGTACTTGTGAAATGAGTGTCTATCTAAAGTATACGGAAGATACTGAGGTGTGGGGGTTGTCCGGTTTCGGGCTTGCAGAGGGTATAACTTCAGTGGTTGTCATTCCACTGAATGATATACAATACATTATGTTGGGCATAGTCGATCTAGTACTTTCATTTTATAGTTGGGAGGCCGTCTTGATTCCGCCTCCAGCCTTACTTGTGCCAATCTTATTAAGGCACCACTGCAGTATCTCTCGATGCAGGTATGGTTAAACCTCATTTGATAGATCATTCAGTTCATCATTTACCTTGTCTACACTTTCTGCAGCAGGTTTTTATAAACAACCGACGGTTATATGGCGCAACTACAGTGATTGCTTATCTGGTGAGGCAGTAGGTAGTTCAGGTCCATGTTCTTCGCTGCGATCTGTCGCCATGTACTCAATGTGAGCTGTCAGTATTCTCAACCTATTTGAACATATAAATATTAGTACAAGGGGGCATCAGATATATCGGATATAATCCAGTCTTATCCTATCATATACGCGTAAGGTTTGCAGATTATGTATGTGGCTTCAAAACAAGCTTGTGATTGGTATGTGCTTTTTAAGAATTACAAAATTAAGTAGCCTAATATTCACAATAAAACTACAGGCTTTTAACTCCATAATTTGTACATCTAATTATTAATATCCTGTAATCAATTAATTGCTTTGTGTATTGACTAAACTGGTTGCAGTACTGATATGCCTGGATGAGTTCTCCCGAAGTTGTAAACATGTTTTATTTCTAACCTTAAAATCAACTGATTAACTTCTAAACTATTCCTTTCATCTATCATATTCAATATTAAGTCAATAAATTCTGTTTAATTACACTACAAATTTTATCCTTAGAATTTGTTGATATAATGTAAACTAGACAATGTAACCAAGTTTTTGAAAGGTATCTTCGTTATTATGACTGTTATTAAAAACAAAATTTCATATTGTCTAGAACGGATCCAAGTATGACGTTCATATATTCACTATAATCGAGTAACAACATCAATGGTATCGTGAATATAAACAAGGTTTGTACTTTTTTTCATGATAATTCAATATTGAAATGAATTCGTGATGTTGAATGTTTACATATACAAACGTATGGTTATAACTACCTGGTATATATAAATGTATATGTCCATCAAGCTTTATTCACATTTCAATAATGAAACTCATCTTATTATTTGTACTAACTATTTTGTTACTGTTCAATGTAACTGAGTAAGTCACTGATTTCTTTTTTCTGTAATCTTCTATCTGTTTCCAATGAAATAAGAACAGAACATTCCCGAGCTCCCAATTTTGGGGAAATGGCACAAAGACTCCAAAATTTCCCCAGACCTGGGGGAAATTCCCCTTTAACCTTGGTCAAGGTCATTTGACTTTGGGGAATTCCCCAAAATTGGAAGCTCGGGTTTCTATATAGTAAATAACTAATTATAGTATTTAATCAGATTATCATCTAAATTTATTAAAAGGCATAATGTATTTGTAATCAAAACCAGAACAACATTACATAATCAATTGTATATTCAACTAGTTACGTAAGAATAAGAATGTGAATTGAATGAGTAAGATTGAAATTAAGCTATAGGCTATAGATATTTAGTATGATAAACAAAATCAATAATAAGTAGTTAATCATATGAATGCATAGAAAGTATAATAATCATATTATTGAGACATTATGTAACTAAGACTAAAATTAGAACGTAAAACTGAATGTAGTTGAAAAAATTTTTTTAGGAAGAATAAGCATAATTAAGTAGAACATCATTCTAAGTTAAGGGTTTGTATACAATGATTAGGCTTATTGATATATTTCACTCGTTGAAATCATGAGTCAATTGAAGCTAGACCACCATGGAAAACCTGGAAGCACTGGACGGCCGTTTCGTCCTAGTACGGGACTCCTCAGCAGTGCGCACCCCGCGAAATTCGAACTCAGGACCTATCAGTCTCGCGCCAAGCGCTTAATCAACTAGACCACTGAGCCGACATCCAACGGTGTTAATGTCTAATTTCAAACAATCCACTCATATTGATATATATTCCTATGAATTCTGTCGTAAGAGATGGATTGTTAGGGAGTTGGTCAATTCGAGATAATTTTATAAATTACTTCGGAAGCTAAATTTATGCAGATATGGTGACTACTATTAACTAAATGGGGACAGTGTAGAGGTTTTTAATTATTTCCTTTTGTCCATTAGCCAACTATGAGTGATGATTTTCAGAAATACAACTAAGCATTTGGCTTCTACGCCAAATATAACTGGTTCCGTGGTATCGGTTGAACTGGTAAATAAAAATAAAAGTAGCTGAACAGCTCAATCTTTCTTAAGTAAAATCACTACTGGTTGACTTCAGAAAAAAGGATATAACTTACTAAACTGAAAGTTCATTCTAAGTTTATTTCGTATACATCATATCACTATTTCATTGACTATATCACCTTTGAACTGTAATTTAAGGGATGGTTTTTTTCAATCAAATCTTTTATTTCATTTCTGGCTCTAAATGAGAGTTGGGAAAAATGTATGAATTGTCCACCACCAACAAAGTTTATTGTAAAATACTTCCCCTGAATAACCATTTCGTGTTTTTGTAGACTTATCAAAACAGTATTACTGAAACTGCATAAATAACTATCTCCCTCCACTTGTGCTCTGATTGCTTTATATTTTCAGGAAACACTACAAAATCGTAAGCTGTAATAGTATACTGTATGAACAGCTTACTTATTAAAATATTAACTAAATAGACAGTAGTTTAAATTTGTTATTTTGTGTACGTTAATGATCATTTCGACAATTTAACGATATCAAGTGAATCTTCATAACAAAAATGAAAAGAAAACATTAGTTATAAGCATAACCTATCAAGTAATGAGGATAGATAGTAACCAATTATGATAATAAACGGTTTCATTGATTGGAGCTTGTTCAGTAAGTATATATCCATTAACTTTACAACCCAGTACTCAAGATATTTTGATTTCTCACTCTTCGACATTGTTACGTATAAAAAAAATACACATAGTACTAACAGTTGAGGCTATTCTCAACGTTCTCAGTGTTCAACAACTGTTTTTATTCATGAATTTCAGTTATATTTTTGTTTATTTGAGAAGTGAGTGCTGAATATTGGATTATAATCTTCACTAAATATTTCATTTCAAGCATCTAGAGTTATCTATAACCGTCTGTGATGAACAAGACATTATCGAGCGATTCACGATTCAAGATAAAATGCACAAATATGGAGAAACTCATGGTTGGAAACGGAATTTTTAATGAAAGTTACACTTTAATATTCAGCAAACATCCAATAAATGACGCGCATAATATCCGGAATCGTTGAGTAAAACGGACTCATAGAACATTGGAAAAGGTTGTGGGTGGCCTTAATCGTATTCACTGATGTTAGTCAGTTAAAGATTAGATCTTTTTTTTTGGTTTATCATAAACTAGTAATATTGGAAGATAACCATATTAGGAAAAATAATCTGTAAAGTAGCCCATTAATAAACAGGAAATTTGGTAGCCATCAAATAATATGATTTAATTATCAAAGATTGTTACTAGAATACCTAAAGTTGCCCAATCTCACCATTCCTCTTCAACTTTGCCATCGATGACATTCTGGAAACAGCTCTGATGAATGTAAGTAATGGTGGTGTGGATCTGTTGCCTGGAGAAAGACTTCTCGACCTTGAGTATGCGGACGATATTGTCTTACTGTGCGATAATGCCCAAGGCATGCAATCCGCACTTAATCAGTTGGCAATCAGTGTCCGTAGGTATGGTATGTGCTTTGCACCTTCGAAGTGCAAAGTACTTCTACAAGACTGGCAGGATTCTAATCCTGTACTCACCCTGGACGGTGAGCAGATAGACGTAGTTGAGAAGTTCGTGTATCTGGGTAGCTGCATAAGTGCTGGTGGGGGTGTGAGTGATGAGATCAATGCACGAATAGTGAAAGCCAGAGCGGCTTATGCCAATCTGGGTCACCTTTGGCGCCTTCGTGATGTTAGTCTGGCTGTAAAAAGTCGGATCTACAACGCGTCGGTGAGAGCAGTTTTGCTCTATGCTTGTGAAACCTGGCCTCTCCGAGTTGAGGACGTTAGACGACTCTCTGTGTTCGATCATCGCTGTCTCCGAAGGATTGCTGACATTCAGTGGCAACACCATGTCAGTAATGCAGAGGTTCGGCATCGTGTGTTCGGGCACAGAGATGATAACTCAATTGGTGTTACCATCTTGAAACACCGACTTCGGTGGCTTGGACATGTTCTCCGAATGTCGTCCCAGAGAATTCCACGTCGTGCATTATTTGCCGACTCTGGGACTGGTTGGAAGAAGCGGAGAGGTGGTCAGTGCATGACATGGTGTCGTGGCATGAAAGAAAGCTGCAAAGGACTGGCTTGTGTTGGTCCTTCACGACTCCCTGGCTGGGGTCCGAGAGATGGTGCTACACAGTGGCTAGAGACGTTATCAGATATGGCTCAGAATAGAAGCCAGTGGCGATCCTGCTGTAACCTTCTTTTACTTTCTTCATAAAAAGTGGTTGTGTCTTCCCTAACTGAAAGATTTCTTCTGATTGTACCTTTTCGTTCCGTCGTTACTACCACACTACCTTACTCCAACCTCTTCGTCATTGTTCTCTTTTTCTTTTGCGTTCCTTAGTTTTTTTTCTCTTTCTACTTCTCTTCGAATTCCCATTGTTTTGTGTGGCGCATATATATTGGCGCTCTCTTGTACCAATATTTATGTGTTCAAATAAATAAATAAATAAATAAACCTAAAGTTTATACGAAGAATAAAATGGATTAGATCTAACACTTTCACTATGGTAATTTTTACCTCTGCTAACAAAAAATAAAGAACAAAAGATCAATGTAGGATTTCATCAAACACTACATTATATTAGATAAGACAAATAAACTAGTCGTTTTTAAAGAAGATTGAAAATGAAGTACATCTACATCCAACTAAACTAAATATCCCCTTTATTATTTATTTATTTATTTTAACACATAGATATTGGTACAAGGAGACACCAAATACATATGCGCCACACAAATCTCATTTGATATGTGTGAGGGCTGTGATACTGCCCGAGTATCCGAACCGAAGCAGGTGGTTTACTTAGGGGGTCACACCCGGAGCCTTCGACCTGAAGGTCTGACTCACAAGGCAGTGGAGCAACGTAAGGAAATGCATTCCCATGGTAGCCGGTAACCAACGATTGGTTCATACGCCATTTGTTCTTTCAGGATACTGGAGTCCATGTGCACCATTGGTTTGGAATCAGGGTTTTCCAACTCCCATAGGTGGGCTCTCCATGTCCATCACCCCGGTTAAAGCGCCGAACATTCACTTCTCGTCCTCTCAATTTCGTGAACAACACCTCCGCCACGAGAAGGCAGTGAGTAGGACCTTAGCTATGTTGGATCCAATAAAAAATCATCTAATATTAGTTATAGATTCATTCTTTTAGATTAATTTATTTAAACCACCGATAACTTCCAAGATAGTTTCATTTTACGATAAATGGATATTAGCTAGATAAATAATAATCATCACAGAGCATTTGACCGGTAATTAGTCTCATTTATAAACTCATTAAGAATATTAGTCAATGGCCTTAGTTCTTATAATAATAAAAAAGACTAAACACAACTGGTATCTTTAAAATTATTCAAAATAAGCTCTAATTAGAACAATAAATTAATAGTATATAACTAATGACATCTGTGGTTAGGAGATTTGTGGAATTCACATCAGCAATCGAATGAATATCAAGAAGAATCAACATTATAGATTGATGAATAGTCAAAACGAAGTTTAATGATAACTCTTTATAGTTGGATTAGACTTCAGTACCATCTAACTTGTTTTTTAATGATTTGACACAACCAATCAAATAGTAAATCAAAACTTAGTTATAAAAAAATGCAGAGTTTAAACACAATGGTATTAAAACATGAAGATAGATGATCAAATATTCAACACAGATGGAAAGATTTAGACAGTAAAACAGAAAACAGAGCATATAATTTATATACAGAATTTATTTGGTGAGTAGGTAAAGTTTATTCAATATTAATTAATTCATCAGTTATAGTAGCATAAAGGAATGACTGATTAGGTCAAAACCTATTTATATAGTACATAACAAATTAGAATGAGCTTGGAAATAAAAATGATCAATATGGTAAATAGAAATTATGGCTCTTCAATTCCTATACAGATTCTAAAATAAAATGAGATAACTAACCTAAACTCTATAACTTTCAATAATTTCCAATGTAAGTAAATTTCGTATACAAAGATTATTCATTGTCATTAATGTCAAATACTTTCGGATTTCTTTCTTCTTTTTAGATCCAAATCTAGTCAACAGGAACTAGTAAGTTAATTGTAAAATGATCAATCTTTAATTAATTAATCATCATTAATAATCATATTTATAGATTATTGAAAGTGTCAAATTATGGAATTCAATTAAAGAACTTTGGAAGAGATTTGAACATAAGTGTCAAGAGAAAATTCGAAAATATCTTGAGGAAGATGATTTAGGCGAAAAAATAGCCGATGTTTTAAAAATTTGTACGTATTCTTCAGAGAAATATTCAATATAATCATTTAATCTTTTTTTCATCTGTTTAGATGTCAAGCGTTTCAACAGGCGTTTAGATATGCGTTTATCAGCAGACAGACAAGAATAAACATTTATCATAGCTATATTCAATCAAGAAGAAGAAGAACACCATTGTAATGAATTTTAATTCAATAAAGTAGCTGAAAACGAATTCGTTGTTTGATTATAAGACAGATAATGATTGTACACGAGTGTCTAAAATATTTTTTGGAAGAAGGAATGAATACATTTGGTCATATCATTACTATCTCTTAGTTTGAATGTTATATGAATTACTCTCTTCAGCGGAAACAAAAGCTCACTTGAAGGTGTACATTTACACTTCACACATTTAACACTTAGGCCTGTTACCCCTCGTCGAGAATGGGCTTCCGACCTACTCCATCCTGAACTCTCCTTTCTAGTTGTTTCCAGGTGTTGTTTATCTTTTAATTTCTACCTCCGATTCCCGACTTAATTTATTTTCCGATCTACCTCTTTTTCCTTTACCTTAAGAATTCCAAGTTATGACTTGCTTCGTGATCCAATTTATTATCGTTACTATTATTATTGCTGCCATTATTATTATTATTGACTTGACAGTTTGGTGATTTTCCCAGTGAATGTCCTATCCATCTCCAGCGTCTTTCCCTAATTACCTATTCATATGGAAGGTAATTTATTCTCTTCCATAGTAGTGTGTTGTCAATGGTTTCCGGTCAACGGACATTGAGTATCTTACGTGGACAATTCTTTATAAATATATGTACTTGTTTGATGATCATTGTGGTAGTTCTCCAACTTTTAGCGCCGTACAGTAAGACTATCTTGACGTTCGCATTGAAGATTCTGACTTTGATATTGGTTGAGAGTTGTTTTGAGTTCTATATGTTCTCCAACTGTAGGAATGCTGTTCTTGCTTTGCCAATCCTCGCCTTTACGTCTGCATCAGGTTCTCCTTGTTTATCGATTATGCTGTCCAGGTAAGTGAATGTTTCCTCCTCTTCTAACGTTTAACCAACATGTGTTATTGGGTTGGTTGGTGTTCTCCGTGTTGTACTTGAGGATCTTGCCTACTTACTTACTTCCCACTCTATTAATGCATTTTGTACTTCATTGGGCAGCATCAGTGTAGCTCCCTGTATGTGCGGAGCATTTTCCTCTTCAAGACAAGAGTACAACAGCATCTCTCCTGTACCTAATCTTTGCTGTCCAGCTTGGGTCTAATCGGTTCGATTCCGAGCACTGCCAAGTCGTATCTCCTCATTTCCGCAGTTATTTGACTGGTTCTCCCAGTTCCCCACACTGTTCAGATACTCCATGTACCTATAATAATTGTTGCTCTGGTTGTTAGAATGGTTAACGACCTCAAGACTATCAAAGGATCTCGATTTTCATCCTTAGGCATCATAACTCTTCCTTCAAATCCCAGGGCAGAGTTTAAATGGTTTAATTTGTTTAATCTGGTTGGCAAGTTTTTAACATGGTTGTTATCTATGGGATATGGTTTCTCACCGTATGTTCAACCCTCTTCCTTCATCTGGGCTTGTGACCAGCAGTACCCCTAAAAGGGATGCAGGTGCATTTGTGAATTATACACATGGTGAGATATATCTTAAAACACCTAGTTGATATCACTCAAGAGGTTACTCTCTCAATAAATTAATTCAGTATCTGGTAACCGACTACGATGTTGAAAACTATTGTCTAATAATTGTCTATTAGAGCTATAGATATTGGAGATGTGTGAATATGATTTATTAAATTGATCAAATATTTTATATCGTTATTAGAATAATAAGTTAATGGTTATCCGGTCTCAGTAGCTTCGTGGGTTACCTGTTATTGTACGTTTTGAAATGTGTTAACTTCGAATCTCTTTGTGAACACAAACATTTGAATATGCATAAATGCAAATAACAAGTCCCAGATTGAGTGAATCGCGTGACATGGATTTCATTGCTAGCGGAAATCTACCTAATATGTATAACCAAATAGTAATCAAAGAACCGTGAATTTGAATATCAGGATTGACGGCAAAATCAATGCACCAACGAAAGGAGTTGTAGCGGGTTCGTTATTAGGTCTCATACAAGCTGGCACTTTCCTAGCTAAACTAGGACACAGTCTATTTCATCAGTTTATTCAGAAATTCCCATTTCGTTGTCGATATATGGACGACATGTTGTTCCACTTTAAAGATAGCACATTGCAACTAGAGGTTTTGAAGAAATTGAAAATGAAGTACACATAGCAATTAAGTTTACACCTGAAGCAGAATAACCTTTTTCGATGTTCTGTTAACAGAAAGTGTCGATGGGTCAATAAGAAGGAATTTAAACATGAGAAGTACCTGTACATACAAATGAACACATTTCGTTAGGTTTGTACGCCTTTAGTACACTGGAAACCAAATAAAAACTATTAGTTATTGAATAAGAATGTACTTGAGGGAGAACAAAACGATTTGCGTATACTGCTCGGGAAAACAGATACCCCGGGAAGTGTACAAACAAAAATACATCCACAAATCTTAGAATAAACGAAGTACAAACAGTTAGTAGGAAGTTCCTTTTCATTTGTCAACAGTTCAGAGGTGATGCACACAGTGAAATATTAATCTAGAGATCAGTGCGAATTTACGTCACCAGTGAATATTAAAGTAATACTTTATATGACTAATACACAATGAGTTGTATTCATTTCCACTACAATTCCCATCTGATATACTCAGTGATATAATAATCCAGAGATTACATCAAACAATCAGAAGAGCATCTAACACCGGAAAATTAAAACTAGTCTACTTCACATGACCAATGACTACGTCGAGGTTAAAAGTCCAATCATCTAGAATAGTCATCTCATTTTGTATTGATCAATTCGACTACTGCTGGACGGTCGTTTCATCTTATTGTGGGACTGCTCACCACTACGCATCCACGATCCGGCCTCGCGGCATATCGAACCTAGGATCTGTCGATCACTCGCACGAACAATTATCCTCTAGACCACTGAGCCGACATCCAATGGTGTTAATGTATAATTTCAACTAATCCATGAAATTGAGCGACACATCCACAATTGTCTTCAGTGAGTTATTATCTCACCACTGACACAGTTGAACTCCACTGGTCACTGCTTCTCATCAGGACTCCACAAAATACTTATTGAAGCCAGTCATTAGTCATTTTGCTACAATTACAACATATAAATTAAGATTTCTTAATAAGAAAATAAAGAGTTCATATCAGAATTGCTAGTGAATCATGTTAACTTGAATCATTTTATACATAAATTGATCAGAAAAGATAAATGTAGTATAAGAGATTTAAAATAACAGATCGAATCACATATTTATCAAAGATCACATCATATTGAAAATGATATGAATTAAGTAAAGAACAAAAAACTAGTGGTTAAGTACCAATTAAATCCTTTATGTGTTTACAAGATGTAAAAATACGTAATTGAAGTAATTTCATCGATTGAAAGTTAAATAATGCCGACATTTCATCTATTGCTTATAAACAAACACTAATATATGGAATACAGTAGTTATGTCATGGTAATTATGGATTAGAATAAAATATAAAATAAAAACACGATCTTTAACATGTACTACCTGGAGATTGATACCGATAGTAATCGATGAGTATTTGGTTTTGTATGTTCTTGATTCATTTATGATTCATATTAATCTAATTTAATTCTACCATTACAATTTAATATGTTAATCATTTGAAACTATGGATACGTGGAATGGTTGATGTTAGTTATATGTGCTTTCACATTTATCATAAACAGAAACAATCAATTGGCCTTGAACATAGACAAAGACATCGCTTACTCAGTGTTTTCTAGTAACAATAACATACAGATACATGAACACACACACACACACACTCCTTAAATGGTGGACAATGTTCCACATCAAATCGTCCCTTGACCTCACTGTAAACAAGACGAACGTGATTGGACAATGTTTTCGTATGATTTTTTCTTTTGAACCACATATTTTCTTTGATAATGTCGATTTAGATCATATTCCTTAATGATACATTTCGGATTGGTATGACGGACGAATCGATAGGATTATTTTAATTTAAATCACTGAGATTATTCAATCACAATTTTTACATTTAACATAAATCAAAGTCATCCCAACACGAAGACGAAGATCACATGTACATTAATAAACCTAGGTCATTTTATAATTAATGGCTCTGAAATTGTCCAAATTTAAGGAAGAGGTTGAACCCATTTCTATATTACATATAGATCCAAATAGCTATTGCTTTCACTATTCGAAGGACTCTGAGACTGCGAGATTTCAGTAGAAATTCATTAACCCAATAAACTCCTGAATATGATTGATTGGTTGATTGATTGATATTGGCTGTTTGAACCAAACAGCAAAGCTGTTGGCCGATTCGTTTAACTACACCTTTGAAAAATCACACGAAAATTGTACACGAGCAGGGAAAAAAATTATACAACATTTACCAATGTTAGTTGCTCAACAGGACGACCTTAATAAAAAGATGAGAAAAGTGATGACAATTCTAGGTAACTTATCTTCCCATCTCAGTATAACTATGGGAGCTGTAAACAGTATACGTTATGGTCTTCCTGCATTTAAGATTCTTTGAATTCACTAGCGTAACCTCACTCACTATTAACATTTCTTTAGGTATGGAACTTCTAAATGTGAGTTACATACGATACGGTTTAAGATTACAGATTGGAATTCGTCGTATGCATTATGACTGATCATTATTTATTTAAACCCATGAAAATCAGAACAAAGGGGCAACAAAATATATATGTACCACACAAATCATCGAACTTGCTTATGAGCTGGGATACTTCCAGGGTGCCCAAACTGAAGTAGTTGTATTCTTAAGGTGATCATCCGCCAAGCATTTGACCCAGGTGTATAATCCACAAGGCAGTAGAGCAGCGTTAGTAGATGCCATTCCATGGTAGCCAGTGACCAATAATACGTTCCTACACCATTTATTCCCTCAGGATCCTGGAGCCCATGTGCACCATCGATCTGGAATCAGGATGGATGCTCCATACTCACCGACCAGATTTAAGCGCCTAACACTTGCTTCTCATCCTCTCAATCTCGTAAACAACACTCCGGCCACGAGCAGTCCGTGAGTAGGACTCCCTTGGTAGTGGTTATATGTGCGTGGCCACATGAGAGCATTTCGAAGGGCAGAGTGGATGCCCTCAACCCTCGGTCATACCAAGACATTTGGACGCTGACCATTCTTTAAAGATATTCGTGAGTAAAAGCTTCCGCCCAGAGTATAATCAATAAAATTTGTTGTTTTTATAAACGAACCATAAGAGAACGTGACCACTACTCTACGATAAAAAGCACATAACTCACTTTTAAAACATGTGGGAATCATCGATGATTGACTTGGTGCGACTTTCGTAAATAACGTATGTAATATACAATGTACTAAAACACATCGAATTATTAGGTGTTAATAATAGTTCCTGCCCAAACTGTCCGGATTGTATAATTCAGGAAGATAAGGAAGGAAGAACAGACGAATTGTTATTGGAGATCAGTGAATAGGGTTGTATGGAGTGGATGGTGCGAAAATCCTGCATCACCACCTACCAAACCATTGACTGACCGGCTGGTAGTGTTCAGAGTGACGTAAGTGTAGGCGATTGGAGCGATCGCTCACCAAAACCCACTAAACTACCGCACAACAACACAACACAACACACTCATATTTCATTTCATCAACAAACTAT